TGTTGTTTTTGGTTTGTGTTTTGAGCATTCATTCTTTATTTTTTTACAACTACTTTAAAGTTTTAAGGCAGGTTAATTATTAAAGTTGTGTTTATTGTAATTCTATATTGGTATTATGGTACTATTACTAGTTCAACCAATTTCTTCTCTTTCTTAATCAGGTATTGATTTGTTGAAGTGAATTATATATTTGAGATGCATTCATAAAGGTATGAATTTAAAATAAAACAATATTATTTTAGAGAAGTCTGTTTTATACATCTGTTTATTTTAAAGAATTTATTCGTATAAAGAAAGGTTGTGTTATTAAATAATATTAAAAACATTTATAGTGGTAAGTTACAAGTAAACTATGTTATTTTGGTAATGGTTGACTTTGGTAAATGTTGTATAAATAATTGTTCATATTTTAATGAAGTGAGTTATTAAAATTTGTTTATCTGCAATCATTTTCAAAGACTTAGATATATTCAAATACATTAATTTTAATACAGAGTCATAAAGAACAAGAAGAGAATATTGTATCAATATAGTATCTAATTTATTATCAAAAGTATTTATGGTATTATTATATTAAGTTTTTAGAAGAATAAATATTTATATTGTTCACCATTTAGGTGGTAGTGTTGTTGATTCAAGAATAGTAGGTAAGTGATATTATTTTTCTCAAGTAATTTTTTAAAGAAATTATTGAATCAAATAAAACAATTTCTTATCTATTCTATTTTCTAAAAATGTGTTGCTGGTTCTTTAGAAGAACTTGATAATTTATAAATAAAATAGTTATTCATTGTTGGCATGAATTGATTAATGTTTGTTTATTTATGTATTCATTAATGAGAGTTTCGTAAAGCATATTTCTGATGCTTTAGCACTCACTATTTCACATCTATCTGTACTATCTACCTTCTTTTACTCTATCCTCTGCTTGACCCATAACTACAGGATATCCTGCAACATCAAGCATTGGAATATCGTTCATAGCATCTCCAATAGCCATGACATTTTTTAAGTTAATATTAAGTATTGAGCTAGTGTTTGACAGCATGTCCTTTTGTTGCATCATCCTAGTGATTTCGATGAATGTGGATTGTGATTCTGTAACAACAATACCATCAATGTCAGTGAATAATTGCATCCATTTTATCTTTTCATCTTTAGAATGAGCAATTGATAATATTTTAGTTACTTTATTTAGATGAAAAACATTCTCTCCTATTTCTTGTGCTTTGATACCAATTTTCTTTTCATAAGATTCAGTTAGGTCTATTTTTCTTTCTACAAAATATTCATCTCTGATATAGAATTGTGCATAGATATTGTTTTCTTTAATAATTTTATTGATTTTTTCCAGTTGTTCTTTATTAATTTCACTCTCAAAGATTGTTTCATTCCCATGACATATCATTGCACCATTGTAACAAATTAAGTATTCATTTTGTATTCCAGCTTGTTCTGCAACTTTCATCGCACTATTTCTCATTCTTCCTGTTGAAATACAAACATGAATTCCTTTCTTAAGTGCTTTTTGAATAGTATTAATGTTATCTTGTGGAATATAAAAGTGTTCAGGATTTGATGTGTCCATCAATGTTCCATCAATGTCAATACAAACTAATTGTGCCATTTGATTTTTATAGTTCTATTTTCTTAAAAAGAGATAGTTTTGATAAAGAGTAATCTCAAATAATGACAATATCATCTTGTCTAATTTAAAATGTAAAATATCAAAAGTTTTATCCATTTTAGTAAAGAAAATGGTGTAATGATTTTAAAGAGGTTGTGATAATTTAAAAGAAAAGAGAACATAATAAAAGTAAAACTCATATTAGAAATTTATTTTGATAATATCAAATAACAAATAAAAAAGAAAATAGTGTTATTATAAAAAACAGAAAAAAAAGTTCAAAACAGAAAATTCTTTAAAAGAACTAAAAAATAATTATCAGAACAACATAAATAATGAGTCGTCCACAACGAGATAGTGTATTTTACTCTGAAGAAGAACAAGGGAATGAAGTTAAAAGAATATTACGAGTTATTGATACAGAATCAGAGATTATGAATGCTGCATTAAATAATAAAGATTTAAATAAAGCAATTGGATGTTGTGATACAATAGGGAAAGAATTAAGAACTATTTCACTTGCACCAAAGAATTATTATCATCTTTATCTTGCTGCACAAAATGCATTTACACCATTATTCATGTTTTTAAAAGATGAATATGAAGGATCATTACT